TTAAGCTGATAAAAAGCTATTAATACTTTTTTTTTTTTTTTAATAAATCGAGTTCACCCCAAGCAAGAGAGTAAAGGCACAAGGATTTACTGGACGTGGAAGAATTTGAAAACAGAAACATTACTAAGGAGCGAGAAGAATAGAAGTGTAATCAGGGAGAGAGTAGATAGCAAATGACATTGCATTTAAATATTTGAACATTAAAGTTGACTGAAAAGCATAGAACAGGAAAAGAGTTTCACAAGCGAGAAGTGCGAGAAAGATTGTTAGGAGAGAACTTGCGTTTAGTACTGCGCGTAAATTCATAATGACTAGGTACCAAAGCGACGAGATCCTCCGAACAATTACCATGAAAATAATTATAGAAAAGGAACAGGGAGACAATTATAGTATTTTCTGTTTTAATATCTCACATGTATGCGAGCTAAGTCAAGTGGTGCAAACATTAGTGTTTTGACCATGGGATCTATGGTCGATTTATGAGGGAGGTGGCTTCTTGGAGAGAAAATTCCAGCGTGCGGTGTCCTCAAAAAGAGCCTAAAGAACGACCATAATCTATACGACTAAAACGAAAGAACACCCCCCACAAAAAACCCCCCAAAAAACAAGAATAATATCGCACACGGGAACAGAGAAAACTGACATGGTCATACCCATATTATTTTGCGCACATGGCTCAATTAGACATTTGACAATCTGTTGAGATTGTCCACACATAGGCAGTAATATACATTATGAGGATAGTGAGGAGACATTGAAAATTTGAGGAAACTTGTTGTCACTTGATCCATAATGATTATTCCAGATATATTTGGTGTAAGAAATAAATATCACTACTACCACTACTACTACTACGACTACTACTACTACTGCTAATAATAATAATAATAATAATTATAACCTTGAACTATTGAGGATGCTTGTTGACATTTAATCTCTCGCAATCATCACCAGAAAATGTGCTTCTGTGTTAAATACGTAGCTGATTTCCGAAGAAAGTAATTTTTTACGGGTTGGATGCGCTGCCTACACACCCAGCCGTTTTCGAGTTTAAATATGTCCTTCTCGGAGACTGATTTGCCAAGCAAGGCTGGATATTGTCCTACAGCTGAGGCTGGGGGAGTAGTGATAGATTCCTACCTTTCCCAAGAGTTATAGTGCGAAAGTGATCACAACGGCCTCAGCTAAAATTTGAACTCGGCAAGCCGATCTCAAATTTTGCGCCGATAACCGCTACTCGACGCGCTCACGAGACAGAGCTGGAAAAATCACAGTCGCTGGAATATTTATTAGAGAATGAATGCAAATCGTTTATTAAAGGTGAGTCGTGTGTTTCTGGTTTGATAAATAGGCCTGTAATTTTAGAGGGGCGTCCCCGCTTCTTTTCGTTTTTTTTTTTTGTCACCATGATTGATGCCTAACCACTCCCATAGTTCGCTAACGAATTTCTCTTAATTTTATTGTCGTTTGATTTTGTTTCATCCCGTCCTTTTATCGCATAGTGTCTATTTTTCAATTTTCTTCAATTCTGTCTCATCTGATCTCCTTTGATCAGTTTTTGCTGAAAGTAGTTCGAACGGTAATAATTTTTATGTTGTTGTTTCGAATTGTTCTTTAAACGAAAGATTTGTTGAGAATTTGGAAGAAAGTGAAGATGGGATTGGGTCTGTGTAGAGATTGATTGGAAAGAAATCGATGCCTGGCCAAGAAAAATAAAACAGTTTAAGGAGAGGTTGACACGGAAGATCCTACTTTTGTTTTGCGATTCAACTGAAATTCTCGTATATAGGAATTACATAACAAATCTCCAAATAAATAAAAATGTTTTAAAGGGATAAAACAATGAATTTAAGTATTAGGCTGTTCGGAAAGAAATAACGCTTTAATATCAAGGATATAAAACAATTGTAAGTTAAATGTATTTAAATATCATTAGGCTGTTCAGAAAGTAATGACGTTTAACCAATAAGAATATAAAAACAAAAGTAAGCAAAAAATAGATATTATTCAAATATTATTAGGGTATTCAGATAATAATAACGTTTTAGAGTAAGGATAAAAAAACAAAAGTAAGTAAACATTATTTAAATTATATTAAGATGTTTAGAAAGTAATAAGGTTTTACCAGTAAGGATATAAAAACAGAATTAAGTAAACGTTATTTAAATCTTATTAAAGTGTTCAGATAGTAATTAGGTATTACCAGTAAGTATATAAAACGAAAGTAAGTAAAAATTATTTTAAAATTATATGTGTTTAGAAAGTAATAATTTATTAGCAATAAGGATCTAAAAACGAAAGTAAGTAAAAATTATTTTAAAATTGTTTTTAGAAAGTAATAATTTATTAGCAATAAGGATCTAAAAACGAAAGTAAGTAAAAATTATTTTAAAATTGTTTTTAGAAAGTAATAATTTATTAGCAATAAGGATCTAAAAACGAAAGTAAGTAAAAATTATTTTAAAATTGTTTTTAGAAAGTAATAATTTATTAGCAATAAGGATCTAAAAACGAAAGTAAGTAAAACTTATTTTAAAATTATATGTGTTTAGAAAGTAATAATTTATTAGCAATAAGGATCTAAAAACGAAAGTAAGTAAAAATTATTTTAAAATTGTTTTTAGAAAGTAATAATTTATTAGCAATAAGGATCTAAAAACGAAAGTAAGTAAAAATTATTTTAAAATTATGTGTTTAGAAAGTAATAATTTATTAGCAATAAGGATCTAAAAACGAAAGTAATTTAAAAATTATTTTAAAATTGTTTTTAGAAAGTAATAATTTATTAGCAATAAGGATCTAAAAACGAAAGTAAGTAAAAATTATTTTAAAATTGTTTTTAGAAAGTAATAATTTATTAGCAATAAGGATCTAAAAACGAAAGTAAGTAAAAATTATTTTAAAATTGTTTTTAGAAAGTAATAATTTATTAGCAATAAGGATCTAAAAACGAAAGTAAGTAAAACTTATTTTAAAATTATATGTGTTTAGAAAGTAATAATTTATTAGCAATAAGGATCTAAAAACGAAAGTAAGTAAAAATTATTTTAAAATTGTTTTTAGAAAGTAATAATTTATTAGCAATAAGGATCTAAAAACGAAAGTAAGTAAAAATTATTTTAAAATTATATGTGTTTAGAAAGTAATAATTTATTAGTAATAAGGATCTAAAAACGAAAGTAAGTAAAATTATTTTAAAATTGTTTTAGAAAGTAATAATTTATTAGCAATAAGGATCTAAAAACGAAAGTAAGTAAAACTTATTTTAAAATTATATGTGTTTAGAAAGTAATAATTTATTAGCAATAAGGATCTAAAACGAAAGTAAGTAAAAATTATTTTAAAATTGTTTTTAGAAAGTAATAATTTATTAGCAATAAGGATCTAAAAAACGAAAGTAAGTAAAATTATTTTAAAATTATATGTGTTTAGAAAGTAATAATTTATTAGCAATAAGGATCTAAAAACGAAAGTAATTTAAAAATTATTTTAAAAATTTTTTTTAAAGTAATAATTTATTAGCAATAAGGATCTAAAACGAAAGTAAGTAAAATTATTTTAAAATTATATGTGTTTAGAAAGTAATAATTTATTAGTAATAAGGATCTAAAAACGAAAGTAAGTAAAAAATTATTTTAAAATTATATGTGTTTAGAAAGTAATAATTTATTAGCAATAAGGATATAAAAACAAAAGTAAGTTAAAATTATTATTTGAATATTAAGGTTGTTCAGAAAGCAAGGTTACTAGAAAAGATATCACATGTAAATTTAATTCATTTAAAGAAGCAGGAACCATCAATTTACATTCACTTACGTGCCAATACCTTTGGGAAAGGCATGAATCCTCTTCAACCCACCACCCCGGCTATGAGTAAATAGCAGGACAGACCGGTTTCTATAGCCTTGGATGGCAACTGGTCTACCGCAGAAAGAAATGACAACCTACTGCAGGAAAAAAAATCTGCCTCATCAGTCATGTATCGAAAGATACATGATCGCCTAAGCGTGTATCACGCATGGTACTTAAGGGACTGATTTAACATTTCTTTACTCTTTAAATGGAATAAAGTGTAAACATTCATTAAATACGAAAACAATCATATACTGCATATCGCGTTGTAATAATTATAATAATATCATGTGGAGTGGAACTTGTTTACCAGATCGAGTTGTTGGCAATAAACCTCAACAGTGATGGTCCTTCCATGGTCCAATAACTCGGAATGTATAATACCTTTTCATATTTGAACACAAATCAAGGATCCATCCACTATTGAGATCATGGTGTCTTTTTAGTTTTCTCTTGACAAGTAAAACACATTTTTCACCTCCTGTAACGATGCATCACAAAAGATGAAACGCTTGCGCGGTTAAAAGACTTCTAGAATTCGTAGAACCTTTTTTTCCGTTCTCAAGCGAAAGCTCAAAAGAAAGCACAATTCACTCTTTCCCAAATTAAACTCTAACTCCAGGCGCAGTTTCCTACCATTCCACATTGGTTATTTTATAGTTGGTGAATTCATAACGGTGAAATACGTAATTATTTTCCGAACACTTTAACAGATAAAGGAAAACATGATGACAAAAGCTATCAAAAATTGAATTCAACTGACGTTGAACTGTGTGTAATATTTTTTTTAAACACCGTATCACCTTGGTCGAATTGGCCTCAGTAAAAAGTACCTGGGACTTCCATTGATCCTTATTTGGTTCAAGGTAGTATTTTGAAACAATTGTGTAAAAGATGTCAGTATAATCGGCCATGATGCATTGGTTTTTCTGTGTCAAACAGAGGCTTGTCTGAAACAGAATTCTGAAATTTCTATTTAAAATAATGTGTAAGTCTTATTACCAGATATCATTGTTGAATTATTTTATCGAATTGTCAGCGAACAGTTTGTTATGTCTCTAGTGCAATCTGAGTCATGTGTTGGAATCATTCAGTGAAGTAGAACTTGTAACTTAAAAATTAAGTGTTAATTTAATTGCTTTTTCAACTCATCCACTACGTTGTATTTTGAGAGAGAGAGAGAGAGAGAGAGAGAGAGAGAGAGAGAGAGAGAGAGAGAGAGAGATATTATGGACAAGAAATACGAATTATTTATAAGCATTTGAACGACTGTATTCAATTATAAGTTATTAACGTAACCCCGACACAGGTGAAGCAAAAAAAGCAGATCGAATCCTCCAGATACGAATTAATATGTGCCTTCGATATTTATGTTGGCCGAATTAAAATTAGCCGTGACATTTTCATCTTTGATGACCTTAAATTATAAACTTTTCGTCCCTATGCTGTACTAAAATTGTCAATTCAGATAACAGCGTCAAGGCTACCTTCAGAATAGTCTTCTATGTAATAACACGCGGTAGTTCTAAAAATGTGTTTGTTTTGTTAAAATCTAAATGATTTTCTAGATGCCAAATTCAGACATCGATTTTATAGCAGTTTTTGCAAAGAGAAAGTTGTTGTTTGACTTTGTTGATTTTATAGAATATAGATTGATTCAGCACGAGGATAATTTTGCTGAATAATGCCGATGTGTGAAATTGACTTTTATTTGAAGATTCTTTTGACAGTAAAAAAATCGATGAGAAAAATCTAACGAAAACTCTCAAGATACAAGGAGTGAACAAAAGAAAAATACACAGAAATATCACTTTAATACAAAAGCCCACAAGATCACCTTTTTGCATAGAGTTGCGAAAAATTAGAGTAGTATATTCCTGAAATAATAAACAAAGTATACGACATTGGTGAAATACTGGAAGATCTCATTATGTCTCTCTCTTCTGAGAAATGGCAAAAATAGCAGCTGTAAATGAATGCAAACTCCATTGGACAATTAGCTTAATATAAGTAAGCTTATCAAAGATAATAATGTCGTTTTTTGACGTTAAAAAATACATCAAAAAACGACATTATTACGTCATTATTTTTGCACCAACCTAATACAAATTGGAGACGTGTAGTTTTAATAAGCAAGTACTAGTTTTGTAACAAAAAGACAGGCAATTTTCCACAAAAATCTAAGAGGCATATAGATGGCAATATATGCCTTTTGGAAATTTATACAAGAGTGAAGCAAAGTGGAAATGTAAGATTTCAAGCTAAGCTACGGCAGATGCTCAACATCAAGTGTCTGGAAGACCGAGGCACTAACAACAAAGTTCTCAATCACTCAGAAATGTCGATCATGGAAGCTGCCATCCCCAAGCATCGCCTCAATCTGTCCGGATATGTCATCCGAATGGCCTCTTCAAGACTCTTATAGCGAGCTCGTCAACGGCAAATGACATCGCGGAGCTCCAAAAAGCAAATTCAAAAACTGAAAAATTCCGTTAAAAATAAAGAGTGCTGAAATGCTACCGCATACCTAAGCTCCTCCATGGCAGTAAAATATTGGACACTTGCCTTAAAGATCGACTTAATGCGTTGCAAAGAGTTGAGATTCTACAGATGGCTGCCGTAGTACCATAGACTGAATATGAAACCAACGAGGTGGCTCTAAAGAAAAAGAAAATGACAACTAAAATGATATACATAAAATCAGAAAGAAACAGTTGAGAATTCTTTGAAAACATAAAGAGAAAAGAGGCTTGGGTGAATTTAACACTCACAGGACATACTGAAAAGAAGATACACAGAGGGAAACAGCGAGCAACCTACCTCACGAACTTGGGTGAATGGATGAGAGAACAGGAATTGGGATGGATAGCTAAAAGACAAAACTTACAAAGATTTACAAATGATAGGAAGTTATGGAGAGCCATGAACGCTCACTTTTCGAAGTAGCGTAACTAATGAATTTCTGACATGTCAGATGCTTAGTTACGCACACCTATACAAACACGTATATATATATATATATATATATATATGAGATGGAATCATACCTTTCCCAAGGATATTTACGCGGGCGTAAGTGAATATACAAACACAACTGGAATTTGAACTTGGGTTTCCGATTTCTCATTCATAGCCACGATCCATTACGCCACCGTGCTATGGTTAAAGTGTAGAAGAGATGGGACCCTAGCATTTTGGAAAACTCAGAATTCTTCACCTGAGGAGAGTTATTTGGAGACCTTGTGGCACACTATGTGTACCAATTTTCTGTAATTGGTTCTTACGAAAAGTTTGGTAGGTTATATAGAAAACATTTCAAAAACATAGCGATTTGCCAGCCTGAGCTTTGCAGCACCGAATGAGGATTCCATTTTTGACGTAAGTAATAGTATGCGAGACAAAAATGCTAGTCACTTCTGCACAACGAAGCCTCCTATGTATATTTGGTTATTAGCACGACACTCTAAAAGTACTGGCTATAAGAATAATACAAAGAATAAATATACTTTGTTTCTCCGAGGCAAAGGGCGAATCGAAAACTAAAGCCGGTATAAACAATCCTAAGCACTTTCTTGGGACAAACATTGTTTAGAAAAAAAGAAGCCTTTGATCGGCTACTGCTTGCTTCGTTTCTGTATGCACACACGTGTTTTATAGTAGACAAAAGCATATGCATGTGGAGCCAAGTAGATATTTACCTAAATGAACCAAAGGAAGCCGAGGACGTGTTCATGGAAAAAAGGCATCCTTTCTTATGACCA